GGCAGGGCGGGGCGCTTCGGGGCCTCTCGGCTCTCCCCCTTCCTGTCTTTGGCCCCTGCAGCCAGCGATGCCGGGTACGTGCCCTGGTTTTCCGTGTCTGTCTTGAGCCTTTCCCCGCTCCTCGCTTCCAGACGTGCTGAACACCCTTCTTTCAACCTTTCAGGTGGAGGAGATCTACAGGAATCATGCAGATATTGGCCCTTACCACAAAGAGACAGTGATCACTGCCTTCAGGTGGGTGTCAGGTGCTGTCTGAGCCCTGTCTGAGGCTGGAGGAGGGCGATGCTGGGATGTCCCGCAGCCGTAGACCCTCGTTCCTGGGCTGCTGGGGACGGAGGCACCTCGGTAGTCACCCCGAGTGACGCAGCAAAGGGCGGGCAGCGAAAAGCGACCTGAAAACTCTTATTTTTTTCTGCCAGTCCTCATCACTGTGTGCTGAGGGAGATGTCTGGGGAAACTCGAACGTGTGGTGCAGCAGAGCCCTGCGAGCCGCGGTGGGTGGTGAAAGGGACCCCCCGGGCGGGCAGGGACCTTCGCTGGGCGCAGTTTGCTTAACTTGGCGTTGAGACTCTCCCTTCCCCACGGCCGTTCTCCAGAAATGTAGCCTGGACCCTTCTTCTGCCGATCCTTCCTGCGTCCGTCCATGCTCTCACCCCTTAATTCCTCTTCCCCCGCAGCGAAGGCAGCGTCATCGCCTACTACTGGTCGGAGTTCCTCGTCCCCAAGTATCGGGAGCAGAGTCTGGACAGGGCGATGATGAACAAGCAGAACCTGGTCCAGAACTGGAACCCCCGCCTGCGAAACCCCATGCTGAAGGTGGAGTCGATCGTCGCTTTCCGTGAGTGCTGGCTCGGCCGTCCCCGGGCCTCTGGCGTGGGACGGGGAGGACACACGTGTCGCTGGGGGAGGCTGCGCAGACCCTCTCCCCTCGCTCGAATGCTCTGCAGAGGCAAAGCTTGATCACTGGGCCAGATCACTCCCCGGAGCCCCTGGCCAGCTCGCAGGGAGAGACCCCTCGAGCGAGGCCACGTCAGTGCTGGTCCCAGGGACCACTTCAGCTTTCCACCCGGAGACTTTCCACGGCCCAAAGGGTGACAACGCCTCTTGTTTTTTCTTGCAGCTGCCGACCCCAGCATAGCGAACTCCGGACGGGACAGTAAGTACAGAATCACAGAATCACAGAATCACAGAATAATAGGGGTTGGAAGGGACCTCTGTGGGTCATCTAGTCCAACCCCCCTGCCGAAGCAGGGGCACCTACAGTAGGCTGCACAGGATCTTGTACCGGCGAGGCTTGCATATCTTCTTCAGTCTCCTAACAGCCTCTGTGCATCCCCAAGACCTCTGTTGGGGTGGCATTTTCCCTGGTGAGGTGGGAAGGGACCTGAAGAGAGGTGCCCCGTGCGCAAGGCAGGCTCCCGTGTCCTGCCCGGAGCTGGTTTGGGGTCGGCCATTACCTAGCACGAGCGAGTGGCCCTGGCTGCCCATTCCTTGGGTGCTGATGAGCAAAGGGTGCTCCCTGCAAGAGGGATCTGCCCGGGAACGATGAATTACAAGTGCCGCAGTCTCCGAGAAAGGCAGGGCAGAACCTCCTCCTGTGTCGTGCTAACTCTCCTCCTCTCTCCTGGGCAGACAGCTGCATGTTCGCCCTCCACGCCAAGGAAGGGGAGATCACCAGTTTCACCACGCCGGGCTTCCCCAACAGCCCGTACCCCAACAACGCGCGCTGCTACTGGACGCTGAGGGCGGACGCCGGCTCCGTCATCAGCCTGACCTTCAAGACGCTGGAGCTGGAGCAGTGCCGAGAGGACAGCGACTACATCAAGGTGTACAACTCTCTGAGCCCCGTGGAGCCCCACGCTTTGGTCAGGTGGGCGTCCCCGTTACTGGTGGCAGGGTGACACTGAGAGGTCCTGATGGTCCCTGAGCTCCTGTCCCTGCTCAGAGGTGACCTGTGCTGCTGTGTCTAACGGATTTTGTCCCTCCCTTCCTAGGCTCTGTGGGAATTACGCCCCTTCCTACAACCTGACCTTCCTGTCCTCCCAGAACGTCATGCTCGTCACGCTGGTTACCAACAAGGAGGGGAGATTCCCCGGCTTTAAGGCTGAGTTCTTCCAGCTCCCGAAGATGAAGGGTGAGCGGAGGCCTTGGCCCGGTTCCCCCCTCACCCCCCCCCGCCGCGCCCCCTCCCCTCCCCCCGCCGCGGGCGCAGCTGCGGCTGCGGTCGGTTTGCCGGGGACGTTTCCAGGGCCGGGAGACCTGGAAGCAGGTCACGTCCTGGCTCTTGGAGCATCCCTTGCCTTCGGTGCTCTTGGCTGCTCTAATGACGTCCCCCGAGGAGGGCAAAACAAGAATTACGGTGGATTAGACACGCAGATTGGTGCATGCAGGAAGCACCTAATTGATCTCCTGGGTTCCCTCCAAGCCTTGGAGCAGAGCTGCTCTCTGCAGAGATCGACTTGGTGTCTGCCTCCCTTCCTGCCTCGGGCGGTAGCGTGGGGAAACCTCATCTCTCCGTGTCCCTCACCCGCTCCCATCTTCCTGCTTATCTTCCAGCCTGCGGTGGGACTCTGAAAGGAGAGAGCGGCACCTTCACCACTCCCTACTACCCGGCACACTACCCCCCGAGCACGGACTGTGTCTGGAACATAGAGGTGAGACGGGGGCCTTAATTACTCTGCCAAATGAGCTCGAGGGTGCGGGACGCCGTCCAAGCGAGCTCACGGCGTAGCTGCCTGGAGACTTCCAGCCTGGCGCGACTGGAGGGAGGCTCGAGGAGCCAAAGGCAGGAGAGGCTGCGAGAGGCCCGAACCCCGCGTGACGCTCACCGAAGCCCCCGATAACTGTAGCTTTACACAAAAAAAAGCACTAGAGGACGTGGGCTTTGGGACAGGCCGATCACTTGCCGGCAAAACTGGCGGTGGGGAAGAAGTCTCTGGCCTCAAGCTGCCCCTCTGAGTGCTTGTTTGATCTGGGGTTGTGGGGTCAGCAAGCCAAGCAACGATCTAAATGACAGCGTGAGCCGTGGTGGCTTTTCAAGAAGGTGTTTGTTTTTCTGCTGGATTTCTGTCCTTTTTCACTTCTCTTCTGTCCCTGCTGCAAACCCTTTTCCCCCCCAAATTTATTCCCGTTTTCTGTGCTCCGGAAAACAACGTGGCTCTGACTCTGCTTCCTTCTGCAGGTCCCCTCGAAAAAGAACGTGAAGGTGCGTTTCAACATGTTCTTCGTGCTGGAGCCCGGCATCCCCGTCAGCTCCTGCACCAAGGACTACGTGCAGATCAACGGCACGAGGTAGGCGTGCGGTTCCGCGGCACCTCGGGCTTTCCTCCAGCTCGTGGTGGGAACGAGCGTGACGGTGCTTCTGGGGGGTGCAGCGAGGCAGGGGGGGGCTTGGGTCTGACCTGCTCTCGTAGCTCAACGCCCCGTGGTGTGAGGGGAGCCGCACGCTTCGCTCCGGGGCTTCGACCTGGGGTTTGTAACGTGCTGTGGCTGAGTCCCCCCCAAGCACTGTGGAGCCTCGCGTGAGGAAAAGCAGAAACATCTGGCGTGGTTTCCCCTAAATGAGCAAATCTCCGTCGCTTTGTGTCCCGCGATGCGTTCGCTGTTTGCTGTTGCACAGCCTGGCGTGAGCTGGGCCGGAAAGGCGGCTCGGTGCTGCGCAGGGGAAGCGAGCGGTGTCGTTTCGCGACGTTTTGGGCAAGGGAGCTGACCCCTCCTCAAAGGGAGGAGGTTTCGGAGTCGGCAGCTGCATCCCTGGCCCTGGCTGGGTCCTGCCAGCCCGCGGTGGGGTGGGATGCTGCAGCCTCGGAGGCCGCAGGGGTCCCAGGGCACGGCGGACGCGAGGTCAGCGGCATCGCTGGGGGGGGC